GCTCTTCAAGAAAGTTTTAAGCTGAGAGCGGAAACGCTGTACCGAATCGTTTGCTTGGGGGGGAGATGCGTAGCTTTGAGTCCTCTTAACTGATAGTGACTTAAAATAGTAAAATATTTCAGACTCGATCTGCCTGTATCCGTGGCTTGTTGTTGTTATTTAAGTCATGAATCTGGAAAATCACTGCCTGGGGAATACCCTTGCCGTGTCGTGGACCGATCGATATTAGTGTGCAAATACCGCTTGTCTTTGAAACCGATTATTGATCGATGTTATCTATTCGGAGAAGGTTGAATATTTATGGGTAAATCTCAAACGTGCCAGTTTTGCTGTGGTTGATATTGTTTATTTAGCATACCTTTCAGGATTTGCTTCAGTTCGTGATGTCCGCTTGCTCCCCAGCCTATACAAAGCTGTCGATGACCTTTTTGGAGTTCGTTTATCGAATTTGCCGATATATAAATAGCCTAAACTATCATCTTCGCGTCAATTATTGATTGTCGGTAGATGCCACTGATTACGAGCAAGATTTAGTCCAGCTGGTGGGTCTCGTTGGTTGAATACTTACTTGTAGCATCCTTAAGACTAAATAAGTACTTGGAATTGTTAAGGAAAATCTCAGCACATGGTTGTACACTCTGCACATCTTGAGGCAAGACAATATCGTCTTGGTAGCTCTTAAAGTATTTATCCACCTAACGCAAAATGTCTTCACATTTTAAGTTTGCTAGTTTGTACCTTATTTTTGGTTATGGACAAGGTATACTCGGTGACTTAGCATAGTTTCCTAATAGACTGTCACTAAAACCTCATTGACCGCTAGTTCTTACAGTTTCTATGTCGTTATGTTGTGAGTACGGAAAGGCATAAGCTCAAACGAAAGCAAATTTCTTTGCATTTCGAATTTAAGTGGATCTTCTTGGTAGACGAGACCTGGGTCTGAGTTTGGAGGATAAAAATCCTTCACGTGACCTCAATCCAATAGTCTCCTGTTGTTTCTGGATTTATATTCTTTACGAATTTGTCTTTTTGGTTTAGTATTCTCCAGAGGGTCATTGTTCTCAACCCGGACTGGTTAACTTTAATAATTTCATCGGCGTTTCTAGCATTCTCTTTCAAGTATTGTTCTACGGAGGCTTTCAAGGCGAGTTCATCTTAGTCCACAGTCTTCCTAATTACGGTGGTCGGAAAAACAGTCCAAAGTCAGGTGATAGACCAGCTAGTTGTGCGAGCTAGTAGAGGCGATGATTTCTGTTCGTTCGGCACAATTTATTTTAAGGTGACGCTATAATCTGCTGTGCTTAAAAATGCTCGGAAACTTGCTCTACCTGCTTTTCATCCGGTGCTACCTAAACATGAGCCTAATTCGTTTGAACCAAATTGGGTTTGATCTGTTGAACTTCGCGGATGGTGCTTACTCTTACACTTGGAGAAATGAGGCTGTTTTTTAGAGTGGCCATGACTGTGCCTCGAAAACAATGGGCAAGTTAGGTTACATATACGAATTCAACTCAAGGTTACAT